GGGTAGTAGACCCAGTATTAATATTGAGGTAGTGCTAGAAGGGGCCCAAGTAGGAGGTCCTGCTGATGGGCTTAGTAGTGCGCTAATTAACAAAGAGGTGGCCCAAACTCAAAATGGATTGGCCCAGTCTCGTGAGCATACTCTGTGCTTATCACAAGCCCAAGAGCTTGTCAGGTTCAATACGGCTACTGTGGGTAGAGAACCAGTGGTAACAGTTAACACTAATCGTCTTCAAGAAGGTAAGGAAGGAGGTTCGAGAGGAAGGGGAATGAGAAGAGTACACAAAAATGTTGCTTCATTTTCAGGTAGTTTTCAGCGGGGTGCGTTGCCCAGGGCTGCAGTTGCAGTCCTCTCACATTCACAGTCTCAGAACAGCCGATCGAGTAGGAGAAGGAAGCTGGCTATCGAGGAAGCTCACGCTACTTTGCAGCTTGGCAAACGATTGGGTATGAACTGTAAAGGGAAGGAAAATGAAGTGGTACAAAAAATTGTTGAGCTAGAGCTACAAGATGCAGAGCGGTTTGACAAAATTGCAAAAAGGGGTCAGGTGGGTCAGACCTAATTAGCCGTGAATTGGGGGTGTTTAGCGGGGTTAAAACTAGTTTCCAATGAAGATCATGTCTTGGAATGTTAGAGGTTTGGGTAGGCTGGAAAAACGACGCAGAGTGAAGCTGATGATTAAAGAAAGAAGAGTAGATGTTTTGCTCCTTCAAGAAACAAAGAGCAGATATATTGATGTTACTTTTGTTCGATCTATTTGGCCTTGGGAGAAGCTGGAATTTATGGCTGCAGATTTGGATGGGAGTGCTGGGGGGCTTTTGAGTATTTGGAATCCTGAAGTATTCTCCTTATCAGAGTGTTGCAGCAACAGAAATTTTTTGCTTCTATCAGGTACTCTTTCTGGTTCATTTGAGTGTGCTTTCTTAAATATTTACGCTTCTAATGATGTGGTTCAAAGAGCTAAGTTGTGGGATTCTATCCTCAATGTAAGATTCTCATTCCAAAAGCCTTGGTGCATAGGTGGTGATTATAATGAGATTAGAGTTCCTAATGAAAGAAGAGGATGCACTAGGAGTTCCAGAGGGTTGTAGGATTTTAATAATTTTGTTGATCATCTGGAAATGATGGATTTACCAATGTTGGGTAGGAATTTTACATGGGGTAATTCTTTGGACGGTGAAAGGTGGAGTAGAATTGATAGGTTTCTGTTGGATCCCATCTGGGTAGAAAAATTTAGTTTGAAGTTATGGGGCTTACCTAGACTGGTGTCTGACCACTGTCCTCTGTTGCTAATGGAAGATGAGAAAAATTGGGGCCCTAAGCCGTTTAGGTTTTTGAATGCTTGGACCCTGCATCCTAGCTTCTTGTCTGTTGTGCAAAAGTCCTGGTTGGATTCGCAGGTACAAGGATGGGCTAGGTACAGAGCTAAGGTGAAATTGTGTAGTCTTAAAGCTGAGTTGAAAAAGTGGAATTCTGAAGTGTTTGGTTATGTGGAGGACCAACTCAGAAAGGCTGAAGTTGAGTTGCATGAGCTTGATCTATTGGCAGAAATGGGGTCATTAGAACCTCATGAAGTTGTAAGAAGAAGGGAGGTCAAAAACTTGGTGTGGTCATATAGAAAGAAACTGGATTGGATATGGTTCCAAAAGTCTAGAGTAAATTGGGCTCATAATGGTGATCGGAACACTAGGTTTTTTCATATTATGGCTAGCCAAAGGCAGAATAGGAACTTACTGGACTCAGTGGTTGTGGATAGGGTTCGCGTTGAAGATCCAGAATTGGTAAAACAAGAAGTGCTGAGGTTCTTTACAAAGGCATTTTCGGATGATTGGCGATCTCGTCCAAAATTGTCTGGTAGTTTTGTGCTGATTAATAGTGCTAAGGTGGTGGAGTCTCTTGATCCTGAGTTCACTCTGGAAGAAGTTTGGGAGGCTGTAAAAGACTGTAATGGGAATAAAGCGCCGGGTCCAGATGGTTTCAACATGACGTGCATCCAGAAATGCTGGAAGGTTATGAAAAGTGATTTATTCCAGTTTATGCAGGAGTTTTACAATAACAGTAAGCTGGTTTCTGGGTTAAATAGCTCTTTTATCACCTTAGTTCCAAAGATTACTAGTCCTTCGGGCTTGTTAGATTATAGACCTATTAGTTTGGTGGGTGTAGTGTATAAAATCTTAGCTAAGGTACTCTCCAAAAGATTAAAAAGGGTGCTTCTAGATGTGATTGGAGAAGTGCAGACTGCCTTCTTGGAGGTGAGGGGGAGGAATATCTTCGATGGGGTAATGATTGCTAATGAGGTGGTGGATTGGTGGAAGAAGTCTAAAGAGAAGGGTGTCATTTTCAAACTTGACTTTCAAAAAGCTTATGATTCGGTCAACTGGGGTTTCCTTTTTTCTATGATGGCCAATCTCCGGTTTGGGGAGAGATGGCTGGGCTGGATGAGAACTTGTGTCACCACAGCAAGAATTTCAATTCTTGTTAATGGTTCACCAACAGAAGAGTTCAGTCCACAGAAGGGGTTAAGGCAAGGTGATCCTCTATCCCCCCCCTCCCCCTTTTTGTTCAATATTGCAGCTGAGAGCCTCAATGTTTTGTTGGAAAGGGCTAAAGTTTTGGGCTTAATTAAGGGAGCTTCTATTGGGTCAGGAAATTTGAAACTGTCTCATCTCCAGTTTGCCGATGACACTATTCTCTTTTGCGATGCAGAGTGAGAGGAGGTAGTAAATGTTAAGAGAATTCTTAGATGCTTTGAGATTATGTCTGGCCTTAAAATAAATTTCCACAAAAGTGTGGTGTGCGGAGTTGGATTAGTGGTGAAATTGCTCAAGCCTTTGCCTTTAAACTATATTGTCTAAGTAAGAAGCTTCCTCTTTTGTACCTGGGCTTACCTCTAGGTGCTAACCCAAGAAGAAAGAAGACTTGGCAACCTGTGGTGGAGAAGGTAAAAGCTAAATTAGCCTTATGGAAGAGAAGGACGCTTTCATTTGCTGGCCGTCTAACTCTGATCAAATCTGTCCTTGATAGTCTGCCTGGTTACTACATTTCTCTCTTCAAATTACCTAAAGGGGTAGCTAAGGAAATTGATAAGTTGAGGGCAACATTTTTATGGGGTAGTTCAGAAATCCGGAGGAAGATTCATTTGGTAAACTGGAAGTTAGTAACTCTTAGTAAAAAGCATGGAGGGTTAGGCATAAGAAGGGTGAGGGACTTTAATGATTTCATGTTAACTAAGTGGTGGTGGAGATATGGGGTGGAAGATGAATCTCTGTGGAAGAAAGTAATTATGAACAAGTATGGGGGAGTTGGTGGAAGATGGTTACCAGTGATGGAAGGGACTGGCAAAGAATCTTATGTTTGGAGTGATATTCTGAGTGTGTTAAGGGCTAATGCTGAGCTTTTTGAATTTTTTAAGTCTAATTGCAAGCTTGTGATAGGAAATGGGCGTAGGATTCACTTTTGGCATGATAAGTGGTTGTTGAATGTTCAATTAAAGGTAGAGTTCCCAAGGTTGTTTAGATTATCTGTAGATAAAGAGGGGAATCTGAGCTCTTTCATGCAGAGGATGGATATCTCAGGAAATTGGAGGTTTTTGTTTTCATTGCTTTGGAGGAAGAAGAGGTTCAAAGGCTGCAAGACTTGACTAGAGATGCTCCCAGGATTAATGAGGAGTCGCCAGACTCAGTCAGGTGAACTGCGTCTCCTTCAGGTCAATTCACTGTGGCATCAATGAGGAAATGGTATGAGGTGATTCAAGGCCTAAAATTACAGGTTCCCAATCTGTTTTTGAGAGGTGTGGCCTCTCCAAAAGCTCAATTTTTGAGCTGGTTGGCATGGAGGGGTAGGGTTAAAACCATTAATCTTTTACAGAGGTTTAGGGCCTTAAGTAGTAATGTGAAGAATCAGTGCCTTTTCTGCAAGATGGAACCAGAGTCAGTGGATCATATGTTTCTGTAATGCTCAGAGATTTGGAAGGTTTGGTCATCTATGCTACAATGGTGGGGAGTATCTTGGGTCATTCTTGCTACAGTTGATGGTGTGTTGTTATGGTGGCTGGGAACAAAATTTAAGAAGTCAGTTATGAGGATTTGGAGGCTTGTTCCAATTGCAATGTTGTGGTCAGTATGGAGGTTAAGAAATGATTGTGTCTTTAAAGGGAACCAGCCTAATGTGGATGAGCTTGGTGAAATTGTGAAAGTAAGGGTTGGGCTGTGGGCCAAGTCTGGGCTGCCATGATGTTGTGGCTAATCTGAATCAGGTGAGATATTGTTTATATTAGTTGAACTTCACCACCTTTCTAAACAATGTTCCCATCCATTTTTGTTCTTTATCCTTCGCTATTTTATATTTTTTTGCTGTTATTAACTGTGTGCTTTTCTTCTCCATCCGTACCTCCGCCTGGCCTTCTTGAATTAATCTGTGTGCCATATTTTAATCAGTGCAATGTATGGCTATAATTTTATGGGATGAGATTATTGAATGAAAAATGTTTTGTAGCTCGAAAGTTCCTCCCCCGAATCCCCCAACATTGTTTTGGGCAGTTTATTTTTTTTTAATTTTTTTTTTCTGAAACAGAGGGAGAGAGACGGAGAAACAGAGGAGAGGAGAGAGGGAGAAAGAGAGAGGAGGAGAGGAGAGAAGGGAAACAGAGAGAGAGAGACGGCGGGTGCGACGGTAGGTGTGGCGATGGCGGTGCGAGCAACGGTGGATGTCGATCGCAGATCGCAGCTCGTTGCTCGTGGCAGCTCGTCGGCCGATCGCAGCTCGTCGGCTGATCGTCTCCGCCCTGCCTCTGCCACTGCCTCTGCCTCCGCCTCCGCCTCCGCCCGGTTGATATTGCCCCCTCCAGTCCTTTTTCTTCTTCTTCTTCCTTCTCTTCTTCCTTCTTCCTTCATCTTCTTCATCTCTTGATTTTTGGTTGATTCGGGGGATTCGAGGGCTCCAAATTCAAGCTCCCTAGCACGGCTCTTATTGAATTTACCTATAAAAAATAGCTGAGATGACATTATGATGACATCATAACTTTTTGCCTTGATAGTTGATAGGGAGTGCTGACAGCATTATTTGAGGAATTGTTAGCATTGTTTAGGTGGTGTTTGGGTTGCCTGGACTGAGAAGGAAGTTTCGTGTTTGACCATGTAAAATATAGTTTTAAGTTTTTTTTTGTGTGTGTGTGTGTGTGTGTTAAATTTGAAAGCAGATTCAGCCACAGGTATTTGTTTGAGAACAAATGAAACTGCTGCCTATGAGTTAAATGTTACAGTTACAGTTCTTTGTAGACTAAGTAAAATTGAAGAGAACCTATTGAAGAAAGTTCAAAAGAAATTTCAAGAGAATTTTTTAGGTTGTGTTTGGATCTTGGATTTAGTGAGAGATTTGTGAAGGGAATAGAAAAAAGGGAGGGAAAAATGAATGAAATAGGTACTAATTTTTTTAAATATAAATCTCTTCCCCGTTTATTTGACCTCCACAAATCCAAGATCCTAACATACCCATTGTCAATTGACAATCCTTACAAAGGGTGAACTGATGCTCTACAGGAAGTGACCTTTTGGGATATAAAAATGAAAAATGAAGCTTATAGGCTTACAAGGTCAGATTCAAGTTTCTCCAGAAATTCACCTATATGCAGCTTGGAAAGATTGTCTTCTCATAGTAATGTCAATCTTCAGTGTTATTGGGTGACCTCTAGACAAGCTTAGCAAACAGAGGACAGTGAAGTTGAAATGTTTGGGGAAATCAGATTGCTTTGGCTAGTATTTATGATTTGTTTGTGCACTTGTTTTTTTTGGAAAATTAATCGTGAGCGAATGAATTACTAGAAAACAAATCGTAAAACTTGTCTGACCTGGTGGATTTTGGTAAGATGAATCACTTAGGATAACTAACAGGACACTGAATTTTTAATCAAATTATATGATGCTTATCATTGTCAATGTTTTACTTTGCAGGTCATTTGATGCGAGAGAGACTAGATATAAGACGAGCAAAACATAGGAGAGAAATGGTTGAGCTGCCTATAGGTAGCCAGAATGTATGAAGTCTACATCACTAAGGTTATAAACTACTGATTTTGGTTTTTTATTGATGTCGTCTTACCTTATATATTGAAATTGAGACCTTCATTGAACTAGGAGAGGATCTAAATTCCAAGCAGACCCAAATCCTCATGCCTCATATGAAGTCAGCTTGGACGTACAATTATCCCTCCTCTGTCCAGATTAGAGGCGACATCTGGACCCACATGTCTTCGTGAAGTTGTTTTGACATGGTTTAGTTGATTTTCGAGAGGTATTAACATGGGATTGTTTATCCAACCACTTAAATTATACCACCAAATTGAAGGCCTATTCCTATTTACAAGTAAATGATTCTCTCATTTTATCTCATGTTATATTTTATTCTAATCAATATAGTATGTCTCACACATTTCTCATCCGGTTCATCCTATGATATTATGAATTTAGTTAAATTTATAACAATTATAAACATAGTGTAAGAGCATATTGAACAAATTCTTTAAAACACTCAAATTAGACATTTTAGTTAGCCTGTAGCCCTCCAATAGACTCTTTAGACATTATTTTGCTTTCTACATTGAAAAAGCATAGGAGATTATCCGAACTTTAGAAAAGATTATTGGAGTACATGCTAATTAAAGTGGTAAGGTAAAAAGTCGTTTTGTTAAAAGAAAAATACTAAAAACCTGTATGGCATCACTTCTAAATTGACTCTCGATAACATGAACTGTTACATGTCAATTGTTAATTTGTTTAGAAATTAGGCATTTCAGACCCAATTAGTTGTCAAAAAAATCCCTTCAAACGACTTTCAATTTTCAGAAGTCATGAAAAAAGTAAAAATTATGAAGAAAAAAAAAAATAGGAATGTGTTATACAAGTAAGTATTTTTAGCATTAGTTTTTTTTAGGATATTCTTAATTAATAATTTAATTTTTAATTAACTTTTGAAGAAATCAAACCAAACTAAAGCAAGCCTTAAATTAACTTTCGAAGAAACTTTTAAAAAACTAAAATAAAGAATAGAATTGAAAAGAATGGGGTTGGAGAGTTGCTCTAGGAAGTATATATTTAAAATAATAGGGGTGGCTGGGAATATAAATGACTTTTTTTATATTCAAATCATGACCCTGATTCCACACCATGCTTTTTAGATGCCGTTCAAAATGGTCTCCAATCAACCATCCACAACAACAAAAGCCATCAATCAAGAAAGGACTACCATTTGGTCAGGTCAACAAGTTGGAAGTTTGTTCATCTTTCATCAATCAAATTTGCAAAATTTGTACCTCACAGTCTAATGCTGGAAATTGTTTGGTGTTTGGCATGTTAGGGTAGGAGAAATTTACAATGTGCACCCTTTCAATGGCACACATTGTAAAAAAGTTATGATTTTTTATGATGAATATTATGATTGTTTGTGATATGTGTTATGATATTTTTTAGTAAAGTTATAAATAGCGAATTTATGATTTGCATCCTAAAGTTTGAAATGATAATGTTATGACATTTTGTGATTTTTGTTATGACACTTTGAGATTTTATTATGACATTTTTCAATGAAATTTTTTTTTGACTTTTGTAGAGAAAAAATTATGATATTTTGGGTTTAAGTTATGAAATTTTGTGAAAAAATTATGAAAAACATACTATATGCACTTTTTTGCTGTATTGTTCGATGTTTGTCAAATACGCTGTTATAATATATTTTTATATATTATATTTGTGGAGACCCAATCCAATTTAGAAACAACTAAGGTTTGATAAAAAAACTTAGATTCACAATATGGTTTTTCTGAAGTAAAAAGTGGGCGGCTGCTATAGACACAAAAATTTTGATTATTCAGTGACTTTGGTTTTTGTGGGTGAGCAGCAGGTTTTGATCAAATCTGTTGGTGGGTTTGGTTTTGGGCAACACCATAGAACTTTGGAAAAGTTTAATTGGTTCTTTGCTTCGTTTTCGGTGTTGATTTGGTTCGTTATTTTTGGATCTTCTACAACTCTGGTTCTGAAGATTTTTGTTCATCTATTTGGTGAGGTCTTTCCTCTTGTTTATTTGTGATTATTTGGAATTCACCTAAGGGTGATTTTGTGAGACCATTGGTGTCTCGTTTGTAATCGTTTGGAACTTATTTGGTTGATAATGGAATCGGATTTCGATCCCGTGGACGTACCTCACATTGAGGGAACCACGTAAAAATTCTTGTGTTGCCTTTGATTTAATTTTCCGCATTAGTTGTTATTCCCATTAATTGATTTACTTGTGGCGAATCACATCGATTTTTTCTAACATTGATCCGATCTCAAAACGAGTTTAAATCGATCTAATTAGAAGCCAGGCTCAAGTAGCTTAATTTTTATACAATTCTATAAAACATATAATCTTATCATGTTGAGTTTGAGTTGATCTGAAAAAAATTAATAAGTTTAAGAATGTATTTCAAGTTTGAGAAACTCCTTTGACCTGTGGGTGAAAACTATTTTGTTCATTTGACAGTTTGATGAATAGTAGGGTATGTGAACAAAACATATTACTTGTTTAATTAAAATAATGTCATATATTCTATTTAAAGAATCACATTTAAAATGGGTGACCGAGTTATTTTAACGAATATTTTGTCACTATATGAATAAAATGGGACACTCAAAAACTATTTTGTTCACGCATTAATAAGGTATATGAACAAAACATAAAATTTTAATTGGTTAAAATAGTATGATAACTCTTATTTAAAATCATAGACCATATTTAACATAGAAATGCCTACTAATCTAGCATCTGCTAAATTCGTTTGTTAAAAAATTATTGTAAGTGCACAGAATTCGAGCAAAAATCGGATACAACTTCTTCTCAAAATATTTGTACATCTCACCTCATATGAAATAGTTGTGTTTGATATTGTGATCGGATTCATTACAATTAGGTCATATTTGATTCACAATATTAATAGCGAAGTATTAATAATCCTATTAAATTAGTGTGGTATTCACTATCCAATTGGATTGATATCTATTGGATTAATAAGCACACCCCTACCCCATTACTAATAATCCTACACATTTGTAGGATTAATTATCCGTTGGATTAATAATCCTAAACCGAAATGTTAAAACAAACATAGGATAATTGAGCCCACAGATTAATAATTCCAATCCCATACTCTAATCCACCCAATCAAACATGCCGTTAGAAAACTATTTTTTGTGAGAAGAGGAGATGCAAGCAAGTATATTGTACCGATATTGTAATTGCAAGCTTCTCAAATTTATGTCTGTTTAAGTTGGTAAGAGTAAGATACATCATCTCCAAACATGAAGAGAAAGAATAATAATAATAATAAAAGACATGATAAAAAAGGACCCAAAAAAAATGAAACAAGTCATATGATACAACGCTGGCAATTAAAACTTGCATCAATGAATAAAAAAAAGCTTGCCCAAAAAAAAATGGATCCAATTCATGAATGCTGATCAAAAAACAAAAAAAACAAAATAAAAAAAAAATTAAAAAATGTTAAAAACTCAACGACATTAACCGTGATTTTTTGAATTTTGACAATTATCTTACAATCTGCTGTGTTGAGAAAAGCCAATCTTGTGTCATTGTTTCAAACTTCCATTGGCTGGATTTTGGATCAACATGCTTAAATCAAAAGCATGATGAAAATACATAATTAGAGGCCGGAATATCATTTCGCCGTGACAAATCACAACAATAACCATCTCCTCCTCTCCACTGCCACGGTGCCACCTCCATTTTTTTAGGGCTAAAACTTGGTTTCACATTTTTGCGATGAAACGTTCGTGCCTGAAGCCAACGTACTCACCTTAAAATCACACGTCACCGTCAAATCTTTGCTCGTTTCCATTGAACCCTTCAACTTTACAGGCACATTAATCATCAAAGACAACGAAACAGGCAATTTCAACTTCGTGCTCTTCATGCTTTTCTCAACCTCGCTGGGAAGCATTGCGCTCGAGCCAGCTAGGGTTAGGTGAACATTTGTTGAGTCCTTGGCGTCTTGAGTCAACGATGGAAATTTACCGCTTGCAATCTGTTTCTTCGTGAAAGAAAGCGATGCCTTTCCACCTTTTTCGTACACAACGCTCATTTTTTCGTTTGGATTGTTGGCTTTCAATGAAATTTCATAACTAGGGTGTGCATGTGCTTGTTTTTTAGGGTTCTTGACAAGGACTTTTGTGACAGAGAATTCGGGTGTTTTAGGGTTGAAAAACGAATGAACAATCGCTACGGTGATGCCAATGAGGACAGCAAGGACGACAGTGGATATGAGGATCCAGAGGCAACATTTACCGCCACATCGACCTTTAGATTTTTGAGGGTCGCGATAAGTTTCGACAATTCTTGCATTTTCGGGGGGTGGAATGCGATAGACTTGGTCCCTCGGGATTTGGACAATGTAGGTTTCTGACGATGGTGGTGGTGGTGGTGACATTGATGACGGTGGACCTGAGGGTCGGGCACAAGGAGGGAGAGGTAGGTCAAACTTTTTGTCGGCCACGGCAGGTGGTGGGACCCGCCCCTCCATGAAAGATGGGGCGCGGTGTTGGTGAAGGAGAGGAGGTTAGGAAAAAATATAATGTTGAATTTTTGGAGGTTGGGTTGCATGAGAATAGGAGGAGGTTGATTGGAAAATCGGGACACACACAGTAGTGGTTACATTGCAATTTGTTTTTTGCATGTCTAAATAAGAGCAAAAGAAGTTTTTCTTTTCTTTTTTTTCTTTTAATTTTATGAGAAAAATAATTATAATAATTCCAAAAATCAAATTTAAAAATAAATAATCAATTGTCTTAATTTTGTATTTTAGGTACTTGTTTCAAATAATCTTTAAAATAAATAATCAAGCAAGATAATCCTAAAATGAAATATGTCTACAAAACTTTTTTTTATATAAAACTCATGACAAGAATGATACGGCAGTAATATTTTTTAAAATATAAATCATCTTTATGTGTCTTTTATTTTAACATAGTAAAATCAAAATTTATCACAATATTATGTGTTAATTTTCTATTTGTATACTCTTCGTGTAGCATTAGGAAAATTAAAAATTTTATTGAACTACTGCATTCTCATTAAGATTATTTTTATCTCGCATAATCAAAATGACTTGTCATTATAAGAAATTGGTTTACTATTTCAAATTTTTTTTAACCAATATAACACAGTAGAGTCTCACAAGAGACACTGTTATTTATTAATGTTTGTAAACTCATAAAGGATCAGGAATTTAAGATTGAAAACAATGGGGAAATATCAAATTAGTAGGAGTTTGAAAAAAATAATTACAAATCAATGAAAAAATTTATAAATATTAATAAATAAAATAATAAAATTTTCTATGAATATGTAATTTTTTTTTACTGACATACACTGGGGAGCAATTACCCTCCAAACAATCAGTTGTTCATAGCAACAGTACTGTTATTATAGAACAATAATTCATAACTCTAAATTTGGAGATCTAATAATGACTCTAATGATGTGGTATGAAAAGAAAAAAAAAAAAAAAAAAAAAAAGCCAATCAAAAAAAAAACTAAGATACATATATCAAATCATTCGTAAGTGAGACCCACTACCATAAAACTAAAGTTCTTGTTAAAGCTCTATTTTAACATTTTTGGTTATTATATGGCATACATGTAAGAGAAGTGGCATTGCAAATCAGGTGTGTAATGGGTCGGGGAGTCCAGTGGGACCAATCATTTAGAGACTATTTTTAGTTCCTTTACTTGGTCAACACCAAGTTGAGCAGTCTGGTTTGATTAAAAATAAATAAATAAATAAATTGATATGAATCTGAAATAGTCTATTAAAATTTTTACCAAACTTTTTACATAGGGTCACTACAACAAATTTGAGATTTAAAGACGAAACAAATTTTTCTCAAAATGTATATATTTCGTCACCCAAAGTAATTACGACGAACATTTTTTGTCACCTGTTTTGTCGCCAAAGGGTCGTCGCTAAAGGGTCTTAGAGACGAAAAAAAAAATTCGTCATTGAAAATGACAAATTTATGACGAATTTTTTTGTCTCCAATACACTTTGTTGGGAACATACTTGTAAGTAATTAGCGACAAAATATTTTGTCATTAAAGGAGAAATTAGAGACAAAAGTATTTCGTTATAAATATAAGAAATAGAGACGAAATAATTTTGTCACGTTTAATATAAATGAAGAAGAAAATTTTTTATCAAAGAAGCTACGAATAGAGACAAAAACAAATTCATCATTAAAAATGAAAAATTTGTGACAAATTTTTTTGTCTCCAATACACTCTGTTGGGAACATACTTGGAAGTAATTAGCGACAAAATATTTTGTCATTTAAAGAGAAATTAGAGACAAAAATATTTTGTTATAAAAATAAAAAATGGAGACAATAATTTTGTCACGTTTAATATAAACGAAGACAAAAATTTTTTGTCAAAGAAGCTACCAATAGAGACAAAAATAAATTCATCATTAAAAATAATGAAATAATGTCAAAAAAAATTCGTCACACATTGAGGGTAATAGTGACAAAATGTGACAATATTTTTTGTCATGACAAATTCATTTAGCGACGAAATAAAGAATTCATGACAAAATTAATCATCCACCTAAGCTAAATAAGAGAAAAAAAAAACCTTCTTTAGGGATGAAAATTTTTGTCAATAATTCTATAATATTTTTTTCCACATTATATACCTATTTTATCAAAATCTAAATTTTAGTTCAACAAATATGACCCTGTTCATGTTGAAACCTGTTGAATATAACAATTCCATCACAACTTAACCTAACCTGTTATCAACACATTTACGAATTAACAAAATGAAAATATCCACTCCTCGCTCGAGCGAAGGTCCAAAAATCTGGGCAGCAACACTAGGCTCCCAAACACAACCAACCTGAAACAAACCTGCCCAACACATCCTATAACTCAATATACCAGTAAAGAGGATGCAAACAAGATAATAAACAACTACCAACATCCACGGACACATGTTCGGATCACTGTACAACAAGGGTAAACCCGGGATCGCTATAATCCTTATCAAACAAAAATGAACATTCAAGCAAATTACATCATTGTTGCACGTCAAAAATGCCACTCTAATCCAATCTGCAAAAAAATAAATTAAAAGTTTTAGTAATTAATCAATTATACAAAAGATTAAAAACATTAGTAACTCATCAATTTACAATTAGATCAATTATACAATTTATCCCTGTAACAGACTTTTTTTGAGATTATGAGAACAAAAAATTAATTTTAAGGCTAATTCACAAATGGTGCATCCCATTAATGTGTCGTAAGTTCATACAACTTATATTGGTCCCTCCCAAGGTGCATCCCATTAATGTGTAATAGCTTACCGCTCAGGTGCTAAAGTTGAGTTATCATCACCACTGGAGAAAGAAGAAGATCAATGAGTGTGGATGGGGGATCCGTAGTCAGAATTATAAGCTACATCCGTAGTCAGAATTATAAGCTACATCTTCACGCTATTTGCAAGGGGCAAAAAAGAAAAAAGAGAAAAGAGAAGCACCAGGTTAATATTGCAGAAACAGCAAAATCAAAGCCAATCAACAGTTAGGACTCTCACTGACAAATCTTCTCAATCTAATCCTAGTTGCATAAAGTCTAATAAAAGTTCAATTTCAATATCTGAAATGTTTCACTGCTTTGCCTTTGTATTACCAAGTTAGTAAAAAAAATATATGAAACCATTTGAAGCATAAAACAACCATCGTAAGTGAGTGGTAAGTCTCCCAAACACACAACAACACAACTCTCAAATGAGCCATACCAGCAAGCACAACAAGTTAACAATCATCCAAGTAGACAAATTACTACAACTAAAAGAACAACAAGGTCTTTAACACTCAATCCCTGGGATGCAAAAATTGTTTTGAGGAGAGTGATGTTGCCAAAGTTCTATGATGAACTTGTGTTGTAATGTATGACAACATTATTGGAATATATATTCTAACTAACAACATCAAATTTCCAAGAGCCTTGCAAAATATGTTCTGCCAATGCACATAAACATGAAATTTTAGAACTAATGGAATCAAGCCATATTTTACTTCAAAATAAGATAATTTTCTTTTATGTACTTGTGAATCTCCATAGCATAAACAGTTACCCCATCATGAAATTATGTTTGAATTCATCATTATGCACAGAGGGAGAAAATATGGAACTGGGAACTTATGCACGAGTTCAGGCATTTTCCTACTCTATCTCCGACCAAACCAATTTCCAAGGTCCGCTTTTAGAATGAAGACACTTCAAACACATCGAAATCCAAGTCTATTCGGATGAGAATAAAGCCCTTGAAATGCTCTATCTTTTTATCAAAGAGGGTGGGGTGTAGAAACCACTAAATCTAAGTAAAAAAGTAGAGAGAGAGAGTTTTGGAGAGAGGAGGTCTCAACTTTAGGGTTTAGAGGGAATTATATCTAAAAAAGTGATGAAAAATTCATTTTCGCAAACTGATATACGCACAGTCCGCTCGAGCGCAAGAGTTGACGCTTGAGCGTTAGACACAATAAGTTGTTCCGCTTGAGTCTGCCCAGTCTAAACATATTTTTTTCCTTTTTTGGAGGTGGGTGGGGAATATATTATTAACCACACCATCAAACCCACTAACTTGCAGGGGATACAACAAGCAATAAATGGAATGGACCATTATGACTTATAGAATATACCAGCAGTATACAATTTAATGAACTCGAATCGTACAATCAAACACTCTCTAATTGTTATTGATCAAATATCTATTAATGCGTGGAAGCACTAGGGAAAGTAAACAACTTCCACTAATAAATGAAATATGAGACATCAAAGCAAATACCATCCTTCACCAAAAAAAAAAATGTCCTTCAGTTTTTTTCCACAATATTCACCCTTAATATTTTAAAATCACTAGAATAATACAAATCCATTAATAGCTACGCAATGTTTAAAACATTTCTCCATTACCGAAACCAAATTTTAACCAATGCAATTTCATGAAGCCCATCCCCAAAACCAAAAAAAACAACTTGGCGAGTTTACATTGTGTGGGGGAGGAGGGTGAAAGAGAAGGGCAGGGGGTCATCATCTATCTTACAAAGCATTGGACTTGGCCTTACTGCAATTTTGTTAGCCCATAATTACTTGTCAATTTAGCATGTAGACTTTTTCAATATGATTAGTGTGCCTTTTGCTCTGTCATCTTCACTTGTTGATAACAGCCTTAGTTGTTAAAAGAAGTGTAGACTTCTATCTTTGACCTCATTACGAGATGACAAACCTCCACTAATTATAGAATTAAAATAGTTATAGCATAATAAAAAATTAAATTGAGATAATTTTTTGGCTATGGAAGGAAAAATTGAACTTACCCAACTCTCTTGGATAACTTGAATTGCGGTCCATTATAAGGCGTACATCTCAGACCTGGAACTGTAATTCAACGGTATTAGAAATACTCAACACAAATAATTAGTTTTTTGCAATGTAAAACTATCGACAAACAGACAATAACAAGTTGCCCATTTTAGCATACCTTTCGCGTGAGGGTGGTGGCAGCTGCAAGGCAAGCATGCACAGAGTAAGTGGGTCTTCAATAGATGGCTTTGATTGCCTAC